CCTGGACGAATGGACAGACAGGCAGAGGGCATGTCCAGTTCTGTCTCTTCCATCTGCCACAGCCAGGGGACAAAAAGTCAAAATTCAAGAGTGAAGTGAGCTCATGGGAGACAGCTCATGTTTGGGGACATGTCATTAGGCGGGACAGTAAATATGTTGGACAGGAGATGTTGACTGGAGCTGAGAAGACCAAGACCACAAAGACAGTAATGGAGGCGGATTAAAAACTGGTCTACATCAGTCTCCCTTATTTCCTAAGGATCCTCCAGTTGGTCCAATCATAAAGCTGCCAAGGTGGGTACAAAGTGAGGCGGGCAACAAACGTGCGCACGGTTTAGAGTCCAATTTTTCAACACATGCACAGAAAAAAAGGCCTTGATTTTCAAAGTGTCCAGTTAAAATGTGCCGCATGACTCATTGGTCAACTTCTCAGAATTCAGTGAGAATGCAGCCTTTATTCAGGAACCAGTGTCCCAACAGTCCAGTGAGACCCGACAGGTTAATCTGAGCCGGGTCAGGACCAGAGCTCCATCACACCTGCTCACGTCAACACTGGAATGTAAACCTTTACATCTCCGCCAGCTACACACCGAGCAGAAATGTTATGAAGTTCCAGCAGGAAGTGCTACAGCTGGCTGCCGCTGTTTGCACTTGCAACTAACGACAGAATGTGGGGAGTGGTGGCGCAGAGGTTAGAGAGGTGGGCCTGTGATCCGAAGATCACCGGTTCACGCCCCGACAGCATCAAAATTATGGGTGGGTAGGTGAAGCACCCACACTTGCCCCCACCCTCATTCGCCCCACTCTGGGCCCATGAGCAAGGCCCTTAACCCACCATCTGCTCCCTAAACAGGTCTCTCTTGAAAATGAGTTCTCGTGGCTCAATGAGACTACCTGGATAAATAAAGGGTAAATGGAAAAAAATAATCCATCCATCCAACCATTCATCCAACCATCCATCATCTTTACCCGCTTCTTCCGTTTTGGGTTGCGGGGGGTCACTGGTGCCCATATCCAGCTATCACTGTGTGAGAGGCAGAGGACACCCTGGACAGGTCTCCAGTCCATCACAGGCATCACAGGGACACCTGGACAGGTCTCCAGTCCATCACAGGGACACCTGGACAGGTCTCCAGTCCATCACAAGGACACCTGAACAGGTCTCCAGTCCATCACAGGGACACCTGAACAGGTCTCCAGTCCATCACAGGGACACCTGAACAGGTCTCCAGTCCATCA